AATCTATTTTAAGTCTGTACTTTAATTTTAGATCTGAATTGACTTATTTTGCTTAAGACTGACAAGCTGCTCTGTGTATTCTTAATGCCTGGAAAGGGCTGATTTAGTCCATCTGACATTGCTAACTGTCCGGGTCAGATAAGAGCACAGCTCCAAAGTCTGTCATGTTCTGGTGCCTTCCATAATGAGAACTGATTATCCTGAAGGGCCTCATTGTCCACGGAGAGTTCCAGACATGAGGGAAAACCTGTCTCTGACCCCCATCCACAGAGCACCCCCTCCCCTTACTCCAGTACTTTCAGTTCCCAGTTGAAAGAACCACATCGGCACAGCAATTAGGTAACTCCCACCCTGTTAGAAGATAACAAAAGATAAGTCTGCCTGTTGTACATATACAGAGCAGAGCAAGTAATTCTAACCTGTGCTTTAAAATCTTGAGAGTAGGATTTATAGTCTAGCTAAGAAAAATTAAAATTACCTATTTGCCATGTGGCAGTAGCCAAGAGGTTATGTTTGTAATTTTGACATTTAATAAGATTGTCAGATTACTCTCATTTTCGACGCTCCCCTCTCCCCTACTTGAAGTGACATCACTTTCATTCCTAAATAACTTAGCTAAAGTGAGAGGCTTTGCCTTAATTCCTGGGGCCTTGCAGAACTAGAATTGCGGTAGACACTGGTGTGGCAGTAGGTGGCGCTGTAGATGATGCTTGGAGAGGGAACAAGTAGGTTTAAGAGGAATTGAAGGGATTAATTGAGCAATTATGTTGCTTGCCCTTGCCTAAAACATACTCTCACCATACCGACACCATCCTATTTTTTTGTTAGTCCATGTTTGCAGTTCTTGATTGCATTCATCATGGGGAATGTGTGTATGTATCTAACACATCTTAATTCTTGTTTTGGTTCCCTTCCCTTCCCCTTTCCCTAGACCTTCTTCTCCATTTCCATTCCCCTGTTTCCGTTCTTCTTTGATTCTTTTTTCCCTTTAATTCCCTTTTTATCTTTCTTCCTTCCTCCCTCTCCTCATCTCTTCTTCCCTTTCCCATTTGAATAAGTTCTGCCTACTTCCTATTATTTATCCCCCATTTTTCTCTTTATTTATATTGGATTTCTTACACAAGCGAAGTAATGCAATATTTAAACTTAGCTGCCTAATTTATTTATTTTAAAATTACAATCTCATGGTGCATCCATTTACCTAAAAAAGACTAACGTCTCTCCTTCTTTATGGCAGAATAGTACTCCACTGTTTACAAATACCACATTTTCTTTGTCCATTCACCTACTGATAGGCATATGGGATGTTTTCAGAATTTAGCTACTATAGATTGTGCTGCTGTAAACATGGGTGTGCATGTACAACTGTGGTATGGTACTTTTAACTCTTTTGGGAAGAGGAATAGCTAAATCAAATGAAATCTCTAGTTTAATGTTTTGAGGACTCTTCATACTACTTTCTATAATGGTTGTACCTATTTACACTCCCACCAACAGTGAAGAAGGATTCCTTTTTCCCCAGTAATCTCACCAGCATTTGTTTATGGTTGATTTCTTGATGGTAGCCATTCTTTCTGGAATAAGATGGAATCTTAGCATTGTTTTAATTTGTATTTCTTGAATAACCACTGAAGTTGAGCGTTTTTTTCATGTATTATTAGCCACTTGCACATAATCATCTGAGAAATCTCTGTTCTTTTCAGATGTCCATTTTTGTGACTGCGTCTTTTATTTTGAAAGTCTTTTTTTTTTTTTTGAGTTCTGTATATATTCTAGCTATTGGTTCTCTGTCTGAGGAGTAGCTGGGAAATTTTCTTCCTATTCTTTAGATTATCTCTTCATTCTGTTTTTTCTTAATGTTTTCTCTTCATTTTTCAACTTTTTCAAACATTTACTTTGCAAGACATTTCTCTCTGAAAGCCATAGATATTAGACAACATTGCTTGTTTTTAAAAAATATATATGTGTGTGTGTGTGTGTGTGTGTGTGTTAGTCACATGTACCTTCTACTTTTCTACACTAGAGTCAGATGGATCAACCTGAGCCCAGAGGAGCTCCAGCTAACCTGGACAGGTCCCCCGCACCCCGTATGTACTTAACTCTTAGCAGAGAGAAATAAATGGGAAGAAATCTACTTACATCTCTTAACTTCTGATTTCTTCTCGGCCTTTTGGCTAAGATCAAGTGTAGTATCTAACTTATGTAAGAAAATACCTTTTTAGGATCGGTTCACTTTCTAATTCTTTCCATTTTTCTGGCATTGGCATGATGCAATGAGAAGTGATATGCAGGATGAAGACAGAAACTTTGCAAAGTTCTAACTCATCCAAGAAAAGTCTATACTATGTAGGGCAGACACAAAGGCTAGAAAGTGCATAAGTATCCCAAGTGAAAGGACTTTCTGGTTCATAATTTACTCCAAAGGCTGGCCTTGGGAGCCACAAGTCCCCAGTTAGTTGACAGTGCATTCTCTTCCTTCTCCCAAGACTCAAGAATTGGTGTTATCTGCTTTCTGCAGGGGAAGAGAAGTAACTGGTCTGAGTCACATAGCTAATAAGTAGCAAAGTGTGTCTGCCTGCAGAGCCCATGGTTCTTTCCACTCCAGCCATGAGGAATAGCTTCTGCCTTGTGCATTCTGGGGTCGGAGTCTGCTTCCTTCCTTGGGGCTTGGTACCAACAACCCTCCATAAACCAGTGATGGGCTTTGAATTTTGTAGTAACGTTCTGGGTCCAAATAAAAGAAATTAAACTGCTTTTCATTTTCAAAGAAAATCTCTTAAGGATTTCACAATAACTTATGAAAGATTACTAGTTGAGGAAGAGGGAAGGTGGGCTTAACTTTCTTTGAGCCATGTGACAGCTAATAAAAATGGCTTAGATTTTGAAGTAATAAAGAGCATTGGATCTGGTTTTGTCTTTGTTCCCCAGGTGATCTGGGGACAGTCACAACTTCCTCTTTACCCCATGACTTTTTTTCCTTTGGGTTAAAGGAGGCTTATTCATTGTGATCCTTTAAGTGCACCAGCAGGGATTATATTATTATTGAAACCTTGGATCAAATCTCCTCCCATATGGTTACTGTTTTACTACATTTTATTTTGCAATTTTGGTAAAGCCTAATTAGTTTTTTTAATGGTGATTTTTTTTTTATAGAAATACAAAAATGTATTATTCGAAAATTGTTCAGAAAAGAAATCACATCTGAAGTGTTCAACCAAGAAGCTATGTGTAGCACTGATTCTGGACTTGGGAAGAAGAAGTTAGAGGATGCTTGCAAGGATGATTTTGGAGGGTGATAAATGTAGTTTTTCATTGTGGGTGACTGTCATCCAGTTGAGTAACTACCAAATAATTGGGATAAGGCCGAAGCTTCCTTCCCCTCTGCTACAGAATATTCCTTTTGTTTTTAGAGGACCTGGAAAATTTCTGAGTGGCCCTTTTATGATATAAAAAGAATGAATTTAAATCATGCAAATGCCTATTTTGACACCTCAGATTTTTTCCTGCTTATGTGGAGAAGGGACGAAGTGGTTGTTAACATTATACTGTTTGTAAAGAGAATCATATGAAAATTTAACATTCAGAGACTTGAGCCTTGTTTTTTTTTTTTTTTAAACCATAGTAAATAAAATTACTTCCTTTTTTTCTGCATGTTTGGAGATAAAAATAATGAACATGTAGACAATTAAACAATTTCAAGCTGGCACTGAAGCTGAGATTTTAAAGTTGTAAACATTTTAGAGACAAGTTCAAAGGTGAATACTTAAGAAAAGGGAATAATAGTATATCATTTGGTAGACAAGTTTCTAGAAGAATTATAATTCTGTAGTGTTTCATGATTCAGGACAAGATCAGTGGGTTTTAAATTGCCCAGTTCCAGATAAGTCCTTTAAAAATACAATCGACAAGCATATGGGAAAATTTTAAGTGCTTATGTTGTAGTACAAAGCATTTTTTATTATGGCCCCAGAAGGAGTTTGCTTTATCTTTAATTTTCTTTCTCAGGAGGAATCACAGATATGCTTCAAAATGACTGTTGTTACTCGTGGTTTTCTTGGTCTTGTTAACAGGAATTTAACAAAGTGTTTATGGCAAAGAATGTAGCTTAATGATTTCTTTTATGAGTCATATTAAACAGATATTTATAGAGATTGTATTGTGTGCCAAGTATTTCATAGGAACAATGACCAGGAAAGATACACGACCCTTACCTCTTTCAAGAATTATAATTTAAAGTGGGAATAGATAAAATGCTAATTTAAAGTAGTGATAAATGTAATTAAGTATGAGGGTGACTTTCTTATCTGAGCTAGGTGGTTGAGGAGGGCCTCATGGAAGATTTACAGAACTGAGAATGAAATAAAAGGAGGGCAACTTTGAGAAGGTCTGTTGGCATAGAGGATGCCCAGTGCAAAGGCCCTGTGGCAGATACAACCTACCTTTGTGAGAAACAAGAGAAAATAGCAAAGAAATTGGGTTAGGAGGACTTCATAAACCATGGGGTGGAATGCTTTTTCCATTTATTCTAAGTATTGTGGGAAGATATATGGATCCAGGGAGGACCAGGTTGTGATCTGTAGATTTGGAAGCTCACTCTGCTTAATGTGTGGAGAATAGATCACTGGGGAAAACTGGAAGTAGTGAGACACCTAGAGAGTGGTTGCAGTGACCAGTGCTAATTGGACTGGAGAAAAAGCAGGGAAGATGGAGGCCTTCAGTCTATGCAAGATTCCAAATTTCTCCTCTCCTAACACACCACTGATTTGGGCGTTCATCCTCATTTTCTATACCATTGAGAAAGAAAGCACACTGACAGACAGACACACTGACAGACACACTGACAGACACATGCCGATTGTGATAGGGATCCTGACTTCAGGTAGTGAAACTTGAAATGAGTATGCCTTGTAATCAGCACACTATGGTATGTTGTGGAGATAAGCGGTCTTGCCGATTGTGTTTTATTTCTACCTGAATTAGACAAGTCCAGTCCTGTTTCTGGAAGGGCCATGAAGAGGAAGATCATGCATTGTAGAATCACCCACCTCCAACTTGGAAGATGCACTAGAAAACCTTGCCAGGTATAAAAGTATTCTAATGATATTTAAGAAATGTGTGGAGGAGGCATTTGTTTTATTTGCCTCCTTGTGCACTCTTGACTGTTGCTGTCGCTGGAGTCCAGGAAGCTGGGAAAGGTGTTGGAGACCAGGAAACTAGGAAAGCTGGATTGGTTGTGTTCAGGGGGAGTTGCACATCCTATGCACACTTAGGGGCTGGGCATTGTCTAACTTGGTCCGGAACTTAAACAAGATCTGAGTGTTACAGCCATTGTTTTTCTCTGCTGTAACCCTGGGAGCAGGGCAGGTGGAGAGCTAAGTCTCTGTCACAAAGTTGTAGGCCAGCAAATGGCTTAGTAGCTCCTTGAGAGAGAGACAAGTCTTCCAGTTGAGCCGTCCGGTTGCTCATAATGGCTGAGTCAAGTTGAGCAAGTTCCTGGGGCTTCTGGACCTGTTTCCTTGTCTGTAAAATGGGGATGGCTGTGTTCCCTACGTTCTGTGATCATTGTGGAGCTTAGCTGAGATGGTGCTTGCAAAATGCAGAGTACTGGATCAAGGTTAATTGCTGTTCTGTGTTCCAGCCTCGTGGACTTCATGTTCTTCCACTTATCTCTTGTATTCTCATCATGAAGGTCATGCGACAAAAGTCACTTTTTCAGACTTGCTCTGATGGTCTGCTGATGCCTAAGTTGTACTTTCCCCAGCCACTCTGTTTCCTGTGGTGCTATTTTAATTGATTCACAGCCTTCATCCCTAACTGAAATCACATAATGTGTAAATGTGTGGAGGGTATAATATTTCCCCAAGTTAAAGTGTCCTCTGACATGTCAGGTGCTCACTTAGGGGCAATGTGGGACCCTGAAGACGCAGCTGCAGGGCATGATCTCAGGCAGCAGTGCTGATCCGTTTTGGTTTTGTGCTGTGAGACGACTGGCTTTCCAGTTAAGCTGTATATATTCAAGGTCAAGTGGGCAGGTTCAGAGCTGTAATAGATTATTTTGGGGCAAAGTTGGGGGAAAAGAAAAGTTTGGAAATTTCTTGGGGTAGCAGAACATGCTTATTGTTTTGCCTTGGCTTTTGAGAGAGTATCTCTTGCTTAGTCTTTAGTCTGAATATCACCTGAGGCTTGCCTAGTGCCTGAGATCCTACTGACAGGTACCCAGTTCATGATACAAAAACCACAGAAGTAAAGACAGTAGGGAAATACAACCTATGTGAAAGTGGACAATGCTTGTTAAACTTCTGTGGCCACCCCAGAGCTAGATTTGGGGCTGTAGCTTACAGACTGATGATACTCTGAGCTCACATCTGCACTGTGGATTATTTCCCTGTTTTTTGCTAAATTATGTTACATATCAGTATCATAACTTGGTGCATTGGTTTTGATACCAAATGTATTTTTCAAAAGAAAATCAGATTCATTTTAGAAACAAAATATTTATGTATTCTTGTAGGTTTTTTATCTTCCATACTACTTGCTTATTGACAGTAGGTCTTTGTGAAGTTTGATAAATAAAATGCAATGGCTTAACTTTAAAGTCCCTTGTGGTACACTCCGCAGTCCTAGATTGCATACATTGTTAATCACTACAATGTGCAAATGTATGGCCGTTCTTCTCTGGTGGGGTGGATCAGGGGGCCACAATTTCCACTCATGGTCAAAAATAAATAGTTGGAAATTGGACTCTTGGCAATGTCAGGAAATACCAGTGAAATCCCACTAGTACTTATGTGTTTTGACAACAGTCAGAACAAGGTGAATTAGGTTCATTGTATACTTCACTGTAAGGTGGGGATTTTTAGAAAGTTTCTTTAACCTATCCCTGTATTGTGCTCTTTCAAGTGATTACTAATTAGAATGTTCTGATTTTTTAAACTCAGTGTTTTCTTCCTAATAAATTTTGTTATTGCTTAGTGACCATGAGGAAGGGAGAGAAACAACTGTGTTGGTTTTTATATGCTCTTCAGTTTCTGTTGGCTGCATCATGAGCCAGACATGTAACTACAAACCGTTTGTACTGTTTCAGTTAAAGTGGCTCTGATTGTTGAGGGGGTAGGTTGACTGCTTTAACTTTGTTCATTAACTTTATTAAAATTTTCTTGTAGTTCTTGGTTGTGTATTTATGGTTCTTATGAGGGAGAATGTTACTGCCATATAAATATATATTTTGTGGATAGTTGAAATATTTTTTTTAGGTAGTGGCAGAGGAGTTTGTGTTCCGCCTCTATTATTTGGAAATTGTTTTCAGGTGTTTTCCTTAGATGCAATGAAATTGCCACACATGCCTTGGAACATTTGTATGCACGTGTATGTGTGTGTGAATGCACATGTGTAGGGCCCACCAGTATAATCATCACAATGGCCATTTTTTCCAGTTAGAAGTAGTTCTGTCTTTGCATCAGTATGAAATGTGTTTCAACTCATGTGGCCTTGATTTGCTTATCTGAGTTCTCCTACAGAAGTTTTTCCTCTCAGAATTTACTAGCACAGATTGACCTGTTTTGGTTGCTAATCTCCTGTTGCTGTTTTCACAAACCTTTTCCAGAGTAATTTCTGTGTGAAGCATTGCACTGCTTAGGTGCTATGAAGTAGTGATAAAGAAACTGCATCACAGGGCCTTTTAATTAAGCACAGCAACACATTATCAAATATGTTTGCACATTTTGTGTCTGAAATGCTTAAATACCTTCATCTTACCTTGGATTTATCACATCTGATAGTATTAATATATATATATACGTATATATATACATATATATATATATATATATGTATATATATCTTGCATTAAGGTTGAACAGAGCAACAGAACCAATAGAAAAAACATTTTAAAAGACATTTATTAGGAATTATCACATGTGATTGGGATGCTAAGAAGAAACAGGGTCTGCTGTCTGCAAGCTGGAGACCCATCTGATAGTATTAATATATATATATACGTATATATATACATATATATATATATATATATGTATATATATCTTGCATTAAGGTTGAACAGAGCAACAGAACCAATAGAAAAAACATTTTAAAAGACATTTATTAGGAATTATCACATGTGATTGGGATGCTAAGAAGAAACAGGGTCTGCTGTCTGCAAGCTGGAGACCCAAGGATAGCTTCCACTTTTCTGTTCTGGTTCAATCTTCCCACCTACTGTGGAGGTGAGGGTATCTGCTTTACTCACCCCACAATTCAATGCGAATGTCAGCCAAAACACTCACAGACCCAGCCAAAGATAATGTTTAAGGGAATATATGGGTATTTCGTAGCTTAGTGAAGTTGACACATAACATTAACCACCACATACCTGTAGTGTAATCAAAATGTCTCAGTAATTAGGTAAGCTGTTTTCAAAACATTTAATAAAGTACAGTTTCTCCAGGCTGTTTAAATGAGCTGCCTCCCAGAGTGTTAATGCCAGTCCTCTTCTTCACTTGCTTTTCCAATGCTTTTCTTCTCTCCTTTTCATTCTGTGCTACCTATGTCACACTTTTCCCTTCGTGACCAGTGGTTCCTTCCTTTGTTCAGTGATTTACTGCCTTTTATGGTGTTTTCCTCATTTTTTTTTAATATCCCTTCTGTAAAACAATAAATTCATCTGGGACAGAGACAGTGTCTTTATTTTCCCATGGCAAGTTACTGATAACATCTGCTCCCTACTCTGTGAGATCTTTGCAGATTACTCGTGGAGGTGACATTTGCAGCCATCAGAAACTCTTAACTTTTAGAGTGCAGACTAGGTGTGCACTTCATGGCTTTTCCCCAACAGAGCTTAGATTCAAGTTTAAAGTTATAATACTTACTTTAATAATGTAATAATTTGGTTTGATTGTAGATATAAATTTGTAGTCTAACATGGTGACTATCAGGAACTCCATGCTATACTGATTTAAAAAATAACACTTGATCATTCACGACTATTTTGTTCCTTTAGCGCATGTGATCAATCATAACAGTGGTAATGATGTGGCTATTGAGACTCAGATCCTTACATAGTATCTATATGTTCCCCACACTGTTTGTAGCAGTTTACTAATATTCTGTGTATTTGCATGATGACTGTGGCTTGTTGTTTTTGAAATAGTTCCTACTTTTCTGCTTATGTAGAGTTTTAGCTTTGCTTTCTGAGACATTCAGCTTTAAGAGGTAAAGAAGTGAGCAGTTTTATATAAGTAAAGCTTAATCATTTTTCTGTGTTCACTTTTAGACTTATGTAAAACCCTGGCCTCTTTTTAGCCTATTGCTTCTCTTTGGACCAGGAGTTATTTGAACCTAGAATGAACCCCAGGAGCAGCGTGGTTTGAGGCCCAGGGGACTGTGAAAGTCTCAGGCAGCCATGTCTACTTAGTCTACTAAGTTGACTGTGGTTGTTATCAAACCCCAGACCAGAATTTCCTGGAAACCTGACCCGATGAGAAACTGACTGGGTCCAAGTGTATGTGGAGCTTAAATTTCTCGCCAAGGACATTTCACTATTAGGCCATGAACTATGAGCTTGGTTGACCTTTCTTTTCCCAGAGCAAGTGCTCATGTTTCAGCTAGGTAACATGGTAGTTAGTGTCGTTCTTATATACTGTCACTCCTTCCAGTCCCTAGTCAAAAAATATCTGAGCGCATATTACATGCAGGTGGCACATATTAGGAGCCTAGTTACGTGATGTCGCATCCTCCATCCTTAACCACCAGGCAGCTCCATGCACTGTGGGCCACCTCTCTTGCTAGAGCTTCCTCTTCAGTTATCTCTTAGGTAGAGCTCATTTCTCATGTTCTGAGCCCTACTGCCTGATGTGAGAGCACTGAGGGCCCTCACAGGTGCTTCTGACCTGTGCATCCTCTAAAATGTCTCATTGCCCCTGTAAACAAAGATCACACATCTTGGTGTTGTCTGCTAGATATGAGGGATGCAGTAATAATAGAAGTATATCTTTTTATTGCTGGAGAAAAAAGAGGCTTTAGTGATTTTTCTACTTACAGCCACTTTCTGGTCTTTCTTGCCCTTTTGCTATGTCTGAATATTTTT